AGAAGAGTCCAGTTGAAGCCGCAGCGAGAGAGGTTTGGTGGGGTGGGGCAGCCAGGACAGAGGCAGGCACAGGCCAAGGGCACCCTCGTGTCAGCCGACCTGCTGGGCTTCAGGAGGGGCCATGGCTCTGGGTGGCTCCTGGGCTGCAAGGAAGGTGGCCTCAGGTCCCGGGGGGTCTTGGGAACTAGGTGGACGGCCACCACAGGAGAGAGGGCAAAGAGGTCTCAAGAGGGGTGAGGGCCCTCTTGCCCCTGTGCTGGGGACGAAGGGAGGAGGCAGCCGAGACTAGCCGAGCTGTGATCAGACAGTGCTGCCTGCCTGGTGACGCAGACAGGAGCGGGCATAGTCTCCAGGCACCATGAGCTTTCTGCTCACAGGGAACCGGCAATTTTCTACCCACTCCATTTCCAAAAAAGATGCACTTATTTTAAATGTCACTGAGCTGCTCCTCTGGTCTCTCTCCTGAGCAGCAGTTGGGTGGGCTTCGAGGCCCCTGGTGGGGAGGAGCAAGGAGGCTGGGTCTGGGGGTGCCCAGGGAGGCAGCAGTGGACAGGCGGTTGCTCGTGGCCTGGCTCTGGAGGGCAGGCAGGGAAGCGCGGCAGGAACCACCAGCCTGCCCGAGCAGGCACCGTGATTAGGCCACACTGAGAAACACTGGAGCAGGGCTCCAAACTCCCGAGATGAATTCTACTTAATTACACGCACGCTGAAGTATTTAGAGGAAAGTATACAGATGTTTGCAATTTACTTTAAAATGCATCAAAAAAATGAAATGCCCTGGTGGACGGAAGAGGGGTGGACAGACAAACCATGAGACATCACAGTGAGACATCGTGGGGGAGTCTGGGTGCTGGGTAAGGGGGGTCACATAAGATTCTTTCAACTTTGCTGTATGTTTGAAAAATGTTCATAATAAAACATCATGAAAAATCCAACAGGACTGAGTTTGAATGCTGGCTCTGTCATCACTACCCAGTACACAGGGGACCCAACAGGGCACCAGCACCTGGCCACTCTGCGCACTCAACCTGGCCACTCCTCATTACCTGGCGGGCACCATCACGTGCTGATGTGGCCCACCCCGCGAGGCCAGCGTCCAGCTGTCAGACTGTCTAATGGACTGGCCTCGTTGTGTCTGGCCCCTCTTTGGTGCCCTCACAGTCTCCAGATTTGGTCCATCAGAACCACAAGCGTGGAAAGCCCTGTACCTTATTGCAGGGTAAGGCAGTGAGAACGATGGTGTCGCAACGGTAGCAGCATGGGTGTGGCTGACCAGGTGTGTGCCCTAGGAACTGCCACCTGCCTACTCTAAAGACGGCCTTTGGGAAGGCAGCGGGGAAAGACAGAGCCACGGCCCAGCCAGGCTCTGGAGTCTCAGCCCGCAAGGCCCAGGCCTGCTGTGAGGGGCCGTCGGAGGCTGTGGGGACAAACAGCGTAAGGCCCCTTTGCTGGTGCTTCACCACTCCGTGGCTTGTGGTTCTAGGCCAGTGGAGAGTGCCTGGGGCAGGGTGGGGGTGGGGACCATGGGTTGCAGCCAGGGACAGGGACTGTGCCTGCCACCTGCCCCGACTCCTGCAGCTGTGCCAACAGCCGCAGCACTCCCTCTGCTGCCGGATCTGGAGTCCCACGGGGTGTGCCCAATCTCCGTCTTCACTGAGCCCATTGTGTCTCTAAAGCACGGAGCATGTGAGCTTGCCCTCGCTTGCAGGCTAACTGCAGGCCTATTTCCCCACCTCTGGTAGATCCTCCTGCGGCTTGGACAACCTCAGTCGCAGGGCTCCGAGCGCCCCTGCCCACCTGAGCGGCTGGGTGAGAGGTCCCGCTATGCAGGCAGGCCCTGACTGCCACTTCCTACCCCCACAACAATCTAAGGAATGCACGCAGGTCCCCCGCACAGTGTACAAACAGCCCAGGACCCTCAGGGAGACCCAGAAAGGACAGCATTACAGTGGGGGCCACACGGTGAGCCTCCCACCGAGGTCGGCAAGATGGCTTCTCAGGCCTGTCCCCCAGCCAGGCACGGCATGCGAACACATACACACACACACACACACCCGCCCCACAGCCCTAAGCAGTAACTGGAGTTCTGTTTCCTCGCCAACCAGCTGTGAACTAATTACAAAAAGTTCTAACTAGTCGAGCCCCTCTCCAAGCATATGTTCCCAATTAAGTAAAACTACAGCTGATTTTAATCAATCTTCCTTGAAGCAGCTCAACTTGAAGACTCCCCGCCCAGAGGAAGAGTGAGCAGGGAGGCAGCGAGAGGACATTTGCATAGGGACACTCCCGTAGTGCCACCAGCACGGCTCGGTGACCAAATGCCCACAGACCTCCTCGGAGCTGCCCAGTTATGTGGCCCCAGCCCGTCTGGAGCTAGGCAGAAGCGCAGGGCTCCGGGAATGGTCCCCTGGGAAGGCTCTGAAGGTCCAGCACGTCCAGGACAGCCTCACACTCTGCCAACGCCTCCCGAGCAGGCGCTGGGGTGGTGGGGGTAGGCTTATGCCCTCGATGACGGAAAAGGCAGGAAGAGCCTCTAGGCAGATGTGAACATTTGATCCCCACCAACGCCCACAGGGGCATCTGCACCCTAATTTCATCAAGGCAGTTCTAGGGGCTCAGAAGGAAAAACCAACACGCCCAATACTACACCTGGCAGAGGCGAAGACAGGATCCCGCTGAGGGCAGCGGGCTTGGACACCAGTGGGCTGGCCGGTGGCACTCCGATTTCATGTGTCCAAACTGCCTTCGGACCCATTTCAAACACCACCTGGGCTCTGGCTCCTCCATTCTGCCAGGACCAGTTGTGCTGTGTCCTGGCCTTTGTCCCCATCTGCGCGGTGGGACCCGCCTGCCTTCCTGCATCATCAACGCTCAGTGCTACCCCCAAATCCCCCCACCCCCGTGTCAGTCACAGGCCTTCGCACACAGAGCGAATGGAGGACTGGGGCGCAAGCTCCGGCAGAGGGGTCAGACAGAAAAAGTCCCTTACAATGGGGTGAGCAGCACCACCTGGAACCGTCAGCTTAGCCTTTGGGATGCAAATCTCTGCTGCCCCAGACACAGCTACTGCTGGGATCACCTAGAGCAGACCCAGCGTGTGGGCGGGCCCACTGCTGCCCCAGCCGGCCTAGGAGGTGGGCCCGTGGCCACATGTGGGGTGTGCTTAGAGCCCAGGTCAGCTGTCACCCCGTGAGGTGGTCTCACAGAGGCCTGGGAGGAGGAGGGGTGGGGAGCAGGCCAGGAGTGCAGGGGGAGAAACAGGGTTGAGAGACAACACACCTGGGTTCAAATCCCAGCTCTGCTCTCCGGCCAGGTGCCCTGGACCACATTACTGACCTCTGAGTGGAAGTTTCCTGACCAGTGAACTGGGGTTGTGTTGCCCATCTCAGGAGGAAGTAGTGGGCCTGGGTGTGGCACAGAGCCAGCTCGTGGTCCTCACCCCCAGAGACGGCTAATGAGGGAAGCCAGCTTCAGGCCGCCCCAGGCTCCCTCCATCATGCTGACCTTCCTGGAACGAGGCCCATTTTCAGGGCAGAAATGGCCCAAGAGCCTTCTGGATTTAAGCCGGACCTGTAGCGCTGGTGGGTGCAGGTGGCAGCTGGGGGCTTGGGATGCAGCAGCTGGGGCTTGCTGCTGCTTGCAGGTCCCAGCGATCCTGGCTGAAGCACCTGAGAGCAAGTCATGCAGCCCAGTGGGTCCAGTGCCAAGGGGCAACCCGAGCCACCCACAGGGGCTGTGCAGCCTCCCCAGCCCCGGGCTCAGCGCAGGACCGTCTGGAAGCTCCAGAGGCCCAACCTACAGCTGCTCCGCCAGCTCACTCCTCTGGGCTTGTTTCTCCCGTGCCCAGTTAGCCTAGCCCAGGGTGGCGGCTGGTTCCATGAATCCTGGGTTGGACTCATTGTCACATCATAGCACAAACATCTGCCCCACCAGACCACAGGCCCAGCCCTACACTCTCCTGCTGGGCAAGCTGTGGGCTAACCCAACTCCTCAGCTCTGAGCAGCTCCAGGACACACCCCTACACGAGGGGCCCCACCCCACCAAGGGCCCCAAGGAACTCCGCAGGAGGGTCCCAGGAGCCACTGCTAATCCCAGCCTCATGCTGACCCAGGTGGAGCACAGAGAGCCCTCAGCATTTCCTGCCAGATATCCTGTCCCCATAACTCCTACATAGGAGCACTCGATTTGAGAACATACTGTCTGCACGGGACGGTGGCTATGGGCAGCCCCTGCCTGGCGTTCACCTGTACTCCAGTCTCATCAGCTTCTCAACCACCTCTCCAAGAGCAAGCAAGGATGTTTTGTGAGGAACTAGAAGCCCAGAAGCAGGAAAGCTGTGGTGCAGGGTTCCCGGGGGATGCACTGTACCCATCAGCAGGATTTGGGAAGTTCGGGCTCTGCGCATCCTGGCAGGGCACCGCTGCCGGCCGCCGGGACTCACCTGACACCGGCCCAGCAATCCCCACCCGAGGGCAGCAGCCCAACTGAAATATCACAAAACAACAGGTTCCAGGCCGAGCACAGTCCAGCTGCGGGCCAGACAGAGGTCACTTCTCCCATTGCCAGGAATTGTAATAAAAAAGATTTTCTTTGCCTTTAATAGGTGCCAAGATAAAATCAATGGCCTATCTAAAATCTGGGTAATTTCAACCCTGTGGGTTTCTGCCATGGAACAATTTAGAACAGGACAAGAAAAATAAAAAGAAAGTGAAATTAAAAGAATGCAAACAGTAGTCCAACTTCACACTGGCAGGTGGATGGGACAGGCCTGGACACCACCCAGAACCACATAGCAGGCTCCACCAGCCTCCCTGCCCAAGAGCCCGTTGTGGTCACATCAGACACCTGTGGGCAGTGCAGGGAGAAGGGAAGGCAGGTCATCGGAGCATGGTGGACTCCAGGCAGAGGAGGCAGGCGGCCCCACAGGCCTGTGGGCCGGCATGTCTCCCAGGTCGCTGGGCTCTGGGACGTATCCAACCAGGGCTGCCCCAGCACTCACCTGCAGGACACCCCTCTCCAGCTGCGCCTCCAGCACCCTCTTCTCTTCTTCCAGGCTCCTGCGGTCCCCCTCCAGCTCCTCGACCTTTAACCTGCAAGAAGAGTGAGACCATGACAAGGCCTTGTGGCAGCCCCATGTGTGCAAGCAGAGGGGATGGTGGTTACCAGGGTCGGAGGGAGGTTCAGTTAGGCAGGAGAAGTAAGTTCAAGGGGCCTGTTGTACATCACCGTGATGGCAGTTAATAACAATGTATTGTATGGATTTTAAGTATTCTCATCACAAAATCACGTGAGGTGATGAATATGTTAATTTGTTTGAACAAGTTATTCCACTAAGTATACGTATTTCCAAACATCATGTTGTATACCATAAATTTATCCAATTTTTACTTGTCAGTTAAACACTAAAATACAATAAAAGCCCACATATACATTTTAAAACTATGGTACATCCATACAGTAGAATATTACCTAGGAATTAAAAAAAAGTGGACTGTACCCAGCAGAAGACCAGGCAGGAAGCAAGGGCTTGACAACACTCTAAACCAGCTAGACTCACACGGCACACACAACAGCAGACACACACTCTCCCCAGGTGCACATGGAATATTCTCCAGAACAGACCAAAAGTTAAGCTATAAAACAAGTCTTAATAAGTTAAATTTATTAATTTAATGGAATTAATTCAGTGGAATGAAATTAGAAATCAATAACAGAAGGAAACTAGAAAACTCACATATATGTGGAAAGTAAATAACGACAAGTGAGTCAAAGAGGAAATCACAAGGGGATTATAAAATACCCAGGGAAGCTTATACCTGTAAATGTCTACATTAGAAATGAAACATCCAAATCAATAACCCACCTGTGCACCATGAGAAACCAGAGAAGGAAGAGCAAATTAAGCTAAAAGCTACCAAAATGAAGGAAATAACAAAAAGAGCAGATAAGTGAATCTAAAAACAATACTGAAAAGAGTAACAAAATTGACAAATCTTTACCTAGAGCGACTAGTAAAAAAAGACTCAAATTATAAAATTCAGAAATGAAAGAGGGTGTATTCATACTGATTTTACAGAAATAACTATTATGAGAGAATACTATGAACAACTGCACAAAACTAGATAATCTAGATGAAATAAATTCCTATAAACACACAAGCTACAAAAGCTGACTCAAGAAGAAACAGAAAACTATAAACAGACCTATGATAAACAAGACTATGTCAGTAACCAAAACCCCACCAGAGACGAGAGCCCCGTCAGCTGACCTCACTAGGGAATTATAGCAAACATTTAAAGAAGAATTAACACCTGTCTTTCCCAAACTCCTTCAAAAAGTTGACGAGGAGGGAACACATCCTAATTCACTGTAGGAGACCAGTGTCATATGCTGACTCTGGTGCCAGACAAAGCCACTACATGATAACTAGAGACCCTTATGAACGTAAATATAAAAATCCTCACCAAGGTACCAGCAAACCGAACCCAGCCCGTATTAGGATTATACATCACGATCAAGGGGTTTATGCCAGGAACGCAATTTCAATACATGAAATTAATCTATGTAATACACCAGAGTTAACAGAATGTAGGAAAACAGCCCATAGATCATCTCAACTGAGGCAAAGAAAGCATTTTACAAAATCTATCACCCTTTCATGCTAAACACTCAACAAACTAGGAACAGAAAGGAACTTCCTAAACATGATAAAGGGCATCTTTCAAAAAAAATTGTCCACCGACATTAAGGCTGTTGAGGCAGAAATAATTTGATAAAGGTTTACTGGAAGCCCAATGTGAGGATGCACTGGGGAAGACACAACAGAGCTGGCAGCCCCAAGGTCTGTCACAAGTTGGAAGGTAACAGCAGAACCAGTCCAAGCTGGTTCCACTTTATAACAAAATGTAACAAAATGACTAGTTGTTTTTAGCAGCAAAGGACCCAGGTTGCACATCATATACTCAGAGCACGCCCAGATAAACGGAGTCCGATTTATGACCCAAGCTGGCTGGAATGGAAAGGGCAACCACAGGTAGAACCCAAGTATCCGGTCCAGGGATGGGACCACGTGAAGAAGCCAGGGGTGGCCGGTTTTGTTACAATACCGACTTAAGAGCCAGGGACCGCACTGCAGCGTTGTGTGACCCAGTCGGGCCATTGCGTTTTCCTGTCTCCCTCACTGGTGTGCTCTGCCTGTGAAACCTGCCGCCAAGCCCCAGCTCGGGGAGGCAGATGTGAGTGTTGCCTCCTGCCTCCTTGCCGGCCAACTCACAGTCAAGCTTCCTCTCTCCTCAGAAGCCGGTGCCCCAGCCATTGGCTTCTACATGAGTCAGGCAGTGAGTCCACTGCTCGGTAACATGCGTCACAGTTCCCTTCTTTCACTGGAGGGTACAATACAGAAGTTGCAAACACTGGCTATAGGATAAAACATTCTACATGCAAGACAATCAGTAAGATTGCATGATTCAGAAATAAATCAGCAACATTTCATGATTCAAAAACAAGTCAGTGTCCTTTTCAACATCAGTAAATTACATATTAATCAGTACGTCAACAGTTTGAGGAACTCAGGATGAGATTCTTCACACAGAGACAGGATGGAGGCCAGGAATCGTACGACCTTCCCCAGGCAGTTTATCTGTAAGCTGTCAAATGAGACCTGTAGGTTATTAAACCCATAGCGGATGCCAATTGCAATGGTGAAAGACTGGAAGCTTTTCCCCTAAAATCAGTAACAAGACGAGAAGGCTGGCGTTCCATTCAACACAGACAGCAATTAGGTGAGAAAAGAAAAAAAGACATCAAAATTGGAAAAGAAGAAGTAAAAATACCCCTACTTGCAGATGCCATGATAAAGAAAACCCTAAAGAATATGCAAAAAATGTATTATAGTCAATAAAAAAATTCAGCAACATCACAAGATGCAAAATATCAGTTGTATTTCTATATACTAGCAATGAACAATCTGAAAAGGAAAATAAGAAAACAATTCCATTTAAATAGCATCAAAAAGAACAAAACACTTAGGAAAAAATTTACCCCAGGAGGTGTAAGATTTGTACCCTAAAATCTGCCAAACATTGATAGAAGAAATTAAGGAAAACCTAAATAAACATACAGACATCCATGATAAAGGACAGGAAGATGTAATATTGTTTAGACATCAGAGGAGTCAAAATCTTGAGAAAGAATAACAAAGTAGGAGACTCATATTTCCTGATCTCAAAATTTACTACAAAGCTACAGCAATCAAAACAGAATTGATTTTTTTCTTTCTTTCTTTTTGTTAGAAGAGACAGGGTCTCACTCTATCACCCAGGCTTGAGTGCAGTAGCACAGTCATAGCTCACTGCAGCCTCGAACTCCTCAAGCAATCCTCCCACCTCAGCCCCTAGTAGCTGGGACTACAGGCACGCACCACTGCACCTGGCTAATTTTTTTCTTTTTTTTTTTTTTTTTTAAGAGATTAGGTTTTGCTATGTTGCCCAAGCTGGTCTCAAACTCCTGGCCTAAAGCGATCCTGCTGCCTTGGCCTCCAAGTAGCTCGGATTCCAGGCAGGAGCCATTGCGCCCGTCAAAGAATTGACTTTTACACACACAACAACGTGTATGAATCTCAAAGACGTTATATTGAATGAAAGAAGCCAGCCTCAAAAGATTACATATTGTAGGATTTGATTTATAGAACATTCTTGGAACAAACAAAACACTAGGGATGGAGACCCGTGGCTGCCAAGGGGTATGAGTGTACGTGGAGAACGGCGGGCAGGGTTGGGGGCTTGAGGGGATGAAACTATTCTGTACCCGGATTATGAAGTGATTAAAATCCACAGAATTCACATCATGAAAAAAATACAATGTTACTATATAATAATTTAAAAAGTAAAAAATAACCAGTCTTCTAGGTATGTCCTATATCTGATTGTGGTGGGGATCATATGCTAAGTGTACATTGGCCAACACATGACCCTGGCATCTGGTGGGGGATGGCGGTCCGTGTCTCATTACTGACATTCTTTCGAGCCGTAGGCACGTGGTAATAGCCAAATGTAGACTTGGATTCCCCTACTTGTTGTTTTGGAACTCGGAACATCACCCACACTCTCGACCTGCTCCTGGATGGAGTCTGCTGCCCCGACCTGGGCACTCCTCTTGCACTGAACCACAGGCTGACGGTGGGCGCGTTCTGGGGTTGCAAACTATGCCTCAATCAAATAAGTATCTTTAAAAACCTTTGGCCGGCTGCTAGAATCCAGTACATCAGTGCGGAGAATGCACATAGTGCAGTGTCTGGCCCGTTTAAGCTGTCTTTTATTACAATCGTTACTGCTGCTGCTGCTAGTACTACCATTACTAGTACTACCACCACCACTGCTACTACCACTACTACCATCACCACCACCACCGCTACTACTACTACCGCCACCGCTACCACCACCGCCACCACCACTATCACCACCACTGCCACTACCACCACCACAGCTACTACCACCACCACTGCCACTACTAGAGGGAACTGTTGTCATCACTTATAAAAACAATGGATCAGATTCCGAGATACAACCAGACTCCCACAGGCTAGACAGAGTCAGTCTCTTGAGATACACAAAATTCTCTGACAGGTAAGTCAAAACATGGCCAACAGGTTATCCACAAAGATGTTCATCACAGCTTGTTCTTAATAGCTGAAAACTTGAAACCAGTCAAGCTACAAAAAGGGTTAATCAAGTAAATTATGGAACAAACTATACATTAATACTTATAACAAGACCCATAAAAATATGGAAAAGTGTTTATGTTAGAATATAAGGTGGAGAAACAGGATTCAAATAGTATGTGTTTCACATTTTAAAAAATACATATGAGCCGGGCACAGTGTTACGCGCCTAGAGTCCCAGCTACTCAGGAGGCTGAGGTAGGAGGATCATTTGAGCCTAGGAGTTTGAGACCAGCGTGGGCAACACAGTGAGACCTCATC